ATTGAGGTACAAAGTTAGAAACAAGGAAAAAAGTAATAAATGTGGAACAAATTTCAGCATTCATCCACTATTTTGTGTAACAGTGAGATCATATATTACAATGAGTTACAGAAATATAAAGAAAAACAAAATTCTACTTATGAAAATATAAGAAGGGAAAGGGAATTCTAGAGACTCATTAACATTCAAAAAGCAATATTGAGTAGACTCATAAAATGATATACAATTTCGGAACATTTCTAATCATCAAACTTCTGAATATGTACCAAAGATATCATTAAATTATCCATATGTTTTTAAAAGATACATGGGAAAATTATCGAAACCTATCAGAGGGCAGCTAGTTATAGACGTAGGTATGGTTTGCTTAATTAGTGCTGTTTTATTTAAAAAAATTCTTGTTGATGTATGTTCTGTTGATTTATCAGTCATCTTGTTATGCAGATGACAACTACGTATGCGGTATTCGATTTATATGACAATTAGTAGATATTCTTTCATTCAATAGTATTTCTGTCGTTATTATTGCTATTAGTATTATTGTTGTTCTCATTTTCACTAGATACACTATGCATTTAATCTCAATTCTTCGTCTGCACCATAACTGAGTTACAACACATCCTGTCATATTGGAACCTCCTCGATTCTGGAATATGGTTTCTTTCATCAGCTGTAATCTAATATAACTTTATCATTTTTTCCCAGCTTTATCAATTTCCCTAACGATTACCTTTAGAATAAACTTTTTGCCCATTTTTACTCGCATGATTTATAATCAATCAATCATGATCTTTATACAGATAGTGGATTGATTATAAATCGTCAAATAGATTATTTATAATCAATCCACTATCTGTATAAAGAACATCTATCTGTGATCCACTATCTGTAAATCTTCAACAACGCATGTCTTTTCACTCATTCACCGTCTCATTCATCTATGCCCGCCGAAATATTGAGAGGGTCTGCGTCTCAAATTTTCGTATTAGTAACTGGTTATTTTCATCTGTTCTGTTTTGGTTTGCTCAAATCTCCTTTGGCGGAAATTTCTTAATGAGACGCAGATCCGCATTATAGGAGGGAGCCCGAATATGAGAGGATGTGTTGCATTCCGTGACCGGACAGTTTGCCTAAAAACGTTTTGCCTAACGACAGTTTGCCTGAGGCGGACGGTTTTTTAATGGATATTTTGCCTAATAGGCAAACTGTCCTTATTGTTAGGCAAAACGTTTTTAGGCAGGGTGTCCGAGTTCCCCTCATAACGGCGATTCGTAGTATGATGACCGTTTCAACCGGCCAACATGCGTACCCTCCCGTTTAACCCTTCACCCATGAGCAACTTCGCTGATATCCCCGGGAGCGGATTGGAGAAGAGAATTATTTCCCCGTAATGCCCCCCATCAAAAAACCACCGAGAGAGGCTGCAAATATCGCTCATTCCAATTCATTTAAAGCCACGAGAACTTAAGAGTGAGATTTAGCCTTTGAATCGGTTGAAATTTGAGGATTCTCAGGGCGGATTGGCGCGTATGGCGGACAGAACTCAACTGCGAGGAATGGGAGCGAAATGAGAGCTCAGTTGGGTAAGTCTCAGCTAATGATGAGATGAGAGTTTGAAGCGGAAAAATTTTTGATATGAAGAAGACTAACCGTTGAAAATAAAGATTAACCTTCGATCAGTTGAAGCGATGAGTTGTCCGCGAATCGCTTGTGTCGTTTTCCTGCTTCAATTGGTACTCCATTTGACCCTGTTGGGTGTCTCTCGTACCCTTAAATTCTTCATTTAGAATTTATTTTTAACATTCAATTGAATAACATGTGCTCGTTAATCGAAAATTCATCATTATTTTGACGTGAGCAATAGGACTGTGTAATTCTCTGATTTCTGAGTTAACTTTATAGTATTAAGAAACTTCCACCGAAAAAAATTTGTGCAAAAGTGAAAATCTGAAAAAAAAAACGTAAAAAAACGATAAGAATTGCACGCGACGCGTCCAAATGATAACAATTGTAATTCTATTGTGCACGTGCGCACAATAGAATGATCATGCGAAAACGCGAGAGTGCATGAGTCCGAGAGTGTCTCTTCTATCAGGTGTAGTTTGCTCTTTGTAGTGATAATGATTAAAGGGTAAAGCTTACTTGTTGTTATATGAATGAGGTGTTGAAGCTTTGTACTTTACATTCCGATTCAGTCGAGATCATCTCACCGACGTGACCATATTACGAATTATTTGTTCATTATTTATTTATTTATTATATTGTTAAATTAATTTTGCACATGCTTTTTGAAAATTGTTATTTGATTATCAAAAAACATTATTGTGACTGATATAGCACTGTGTGATGATGTAATAATAATTGATTACAGTAGTATTTGAAATTGCGATGTTAATTTTGGCGTTAGTTGACAAAAGAGCATGCTGTTTATTTGATGAATGTGGTTTGTTTTCAATTCGGTGGACATTCTTGCATTAATCGATGGTTGAAAGGTGAACCTAATATGTATGACACATATCGTGTTTGTTTTTAAGGAGTCAGTTTATCAACTTCGAATGAGGCTTGGTATCAATAAGGAGAGTGATATAGCCAATCACAGTGAGGCAGCGGATTTTAAAGCTCACAGGATCAAAGTCAGTTTTTTTGGCACTCCTCTGTCAGTATTCTGTTTTTCTATCTGTCAATTTTTGACTATTGAATAAATTAATGAATTTCCATTGTGACATGAGGCAATGTCAGTTTGTACGTATGGTAATTATAATGTCAGTATGGTGGTTATAAATTTAGCAAACTGTTGGCGTAACAGTTGATTGTAAAATGCAACGAAGTGAACAACAACTACAAATGGAGGAAGAATCACTTCAAAAAACGAATCGGTATAACTGTTTGAAACCATGTCTTACGACCAGACGCTCACATTCAACTGTACAGAATGATATTCCATTTAAAAAGCCGACACCAGCAAAAGTTTGTTTTTAAATTATTATTGTTAGTTTCGTCGTTTATTTTCAATAACACTGAATACTGTCACATAGCACAAAACAGTAAGATGGTAATCTAAGCGTACCAGCTTGGATATCTTATGATGATCCAATGTTCTGTTCACATCATACATAGATATCTTAAATGATTATGCATCTTATACGCAAATAGCTAAATGCACAAAACAAAAGATCATTTCATAGATCACTTTGTATCTTCTTTTCCTGCTTGCTGATGTCTCATGATGATTCGTATATTTTGCGCTTAGTCACCACAGATAGTATTGTTATGATCCTGAAAACTGAAACAGTGCCACTCAATCAAAATCGAAAAAAAACTAAGATAAAGGCAATACCGTTTAATTTTCATTTGTTTTTTATTGTGTTGAATGTTGAGTTGAAATTTGAATTTTTTAGAATAGGTGTTATTTCGATTATTTGTTATTTTTTCGAAATGATTGTTGAAAATATTTCTTTGAATGATATGATTGGTTGTGAAATGTAACTCTCACATTTGAGGTTTTGATGACAGAAGGAAGTTTACGAGGCAATCCGCAAATGTACGCGATTCAAGGTCGAAGACGTTCTACAAAACGAGAAGGGCGCGATTATCGTTAGTGTAATTTTAGTGATTATTGCTGTTCATTAGTATTAATTTTTAATAATTTGATTATTATAAGTATCAGAGTTGTTTTCTTATGAGTCGAAAATCTATGATTTTTTAATGCTTCTGCTAGCGTTTCTGTACAGTCATATTGACTGGTGGTTTGCAGTCAAAAGTTCGATTAGATAACAAATTTCTCGAACGATCTTGTTAGTCTACATGTTTTGTGAAAAGTAATTCACGGGTTCATACTTTGCATTTTTTAGAATTTTTATTTATTTTTATTGAAGCTCCGTCTGATCCACCGCCCCAATTGAATGTAGCATCAATGGATGGACAAACTTCAACAACGCCTTCAATGACGCCATTATTCAGACTTTATGGACAAAGTTCTTTGAAACAGGTATCAGTTATTCAAGAATTCATTCGCTTATTCAACAAGAATCAACTCTGCATCTTTTACAGTATACTAACTGATCTGTCGAAAGTTATCTTTTTTATAAAGTAATTATTCATTGGCACGTTAACTATCGTACCATGTTAGTAATTGTTTAAAATAATTCATTTCATTTTATTGCTAAAAGTGGATAAGTGATATTTAAGGCATCCTTGTCATTAGAAGATATCACCAATGAAGAAACATTGAATGGTGTAAATAATGAAATAACTGTCGAGCGTGTCGAGGAAGTGGTTGGTAACGAAGATTTCATTATTTTTTATCAGTGGCATGTTTTTATTTTTATTATCATAATAATAGTATTGTTCTATTTGAGTGTGATAAGGCAAACGATAGAAAAGATGGCGTCGTTAGTGGATATGAAGATGATTCATCGATACTACAGTCCTCCTCCATACAACAGAACCAGGATTCGGCTATAATTCATGTGGAAAGGGTAAGTGCCAAGTATTTTCTCATATTTGTTTCCAATATCTATCCATTATATACGTCCAGTTACTTTGAATTACTTCATCGACTAATTCGCTTTGCTTGTTTTCCTTATTTCATATTATTTAGCCATATTTTTGCCAGTTATATTTCAGAATCAACTTGTACATCATTTTCAAAATTGGCCGCTCTATTGGGATAGACCAATTGACTTCCAGGTTTTATAAATGATATTTTCTTTTAAACTTACCTCCAATCCATCTCTGTACATAAAAATTAGTTTAGTTGCTATAGAATATGAGTTGTTATAATAATATTATTATAATTTTCCTGAATGTTAATGTTATGATTATTTTTACTAATTATTATTCTTATTAAATGTTGCATTCTCATGAAATTTGGCATAATTTAGATGACAATTGATGGTCATTAATGTGATTTGAGGAAGCATGTGAAATTTTGACACAACAGATGTCAATGGATGTATCGAAGATTTGCGATTCTGTTCCTCAAAACTATCGCGGAGAAGGCACATTCGTAATTGATTTGCGAGGTTTCGCGAATCGTCACGATGTTTCGTTGGATGGATTAGGCGTGTGGGGTAATGACTGATTCATATTCTTCCAAATCAAGATCTATTTTCGAACGACTGCTTTAATGTAGAATATCGGAAACCTAAGAGGTGGATGATGAGCAAGTGCGATGAAGTAAAAAACAGCTTCATATGAAGACATTAATTTTTAGTACGGGGTTGTCTTTTCGTGAGCTGCAGGAAACTAGTTATTGTTCTAGGACGGCACTTTCTTAATGAGGTGAAATTTCGAGAATTTTGAAAATATAAGGTTTAAAGTGTAAAAAGAAAGTAAAGTTCTTTTAATCTCCTTACAGGGAAGCCGACAGGTCGAACTCGTTATTTTGGATTAAGTGAAACCGGCAAAACATTCAGAATTGATGATGGAAGAGGTAAAATCCCTTATGGTACTGTCTACGAATACAAGTGCATATCAAAGCGTTATGAGCATCCTCGAACGCTGAACTGTAATTCGAAATTCGTTAAAAGGGTAATTTCGATTTGTTTACAAACATTCTAATTTCGATTAAATGGCTTTTAAGTGCATATCACGTGCATTATCATTGATATCTAAACTAAAATTACCATTTACCTGATGTACTATTGGGAATAATGTTTTATCAATACTACCATAAATTTAACTCAAAGAAGTTGAATTTTTCGAAAACTGTAGATTTTCACCGCTGTTCATCATCCGAGTCGTGAAACGGCTGTTGCTCTAGCAATCGTTTGCTATGAATGGATCGGTGAACCGGTCAATTTTCAAGTCAGTGCTGATGAGTTGAATTGTAAGTTTATTTAGTTATTTGCTTACTGCTATTATTGCTGTTGTTGTGAAAATGCTCTGAATAAGATGCAAGCAGTTACTGAATTGAGCTTGTTTTAGTGCCATCAAGGCGTATTTTAACGGCACCACCGTTGGATGGCTCGCGAAATTGGGAAACGGCATCATTCAATCGGTCGAACTTTGATCCAAATGAGGCGTGTAACGCTTTTTATGGTCTTTGTCCATTGTATGCGGTTGGCGCTATTGATTTTGGTACTGCTGCGTGCATCATACTTGGAGGAACCCGAATTGATATTTCAAGGTGTTGTTATGTTTATCAAATCACATTATTGTTATGTTCAAGAGGATTGTTTGTAATTTTGAAAAGATTATCATGTGGATATTCGACATGCAGTATCATAGGTTGTGCACAGACGAATAATGGTGAGGTGTTACTTGATGCCTAATTGATGCAATGAAATGTATTTAAAAGGATTTGTTGTCGTGTGCCTCAAGGATACCGAATGTCAGGAACGTTTGTTATTGACGTTCGTAATTTTGTGACGGATGCTGAACTGAGACGTGATGGTAATGGTGCGTGGGGTAAACCAGCTGGTCATTCACGGTACTACAAACTTGACAGCGTTACCGGAGAAGCGATAAGGGTCGATCGAGGACATAAATTACTCGAAGGCAGTGAATATGATGTGCAAGTTAGTTGCTGTTATCTCGTCTTTCATTAAATATTACATTCAAATTTCAATTTTAAATGAACAGGAAATAATTTTTGATAATGATAATCATTAGAATGGTAATAATCAGAGATGGGCACGCTCCTGAAAACAGTAGCTGCACTATCGCTGAACCGCTGATTAGGCGAAGTTAGTAATATGTTTGCTATCGCTATTCACTAGATTGAAATCTTCTTTGAAAGTTTGCAGTTGCAATACTTGTTTATATTGGAAAAACCTCATTACCCCATTTAAATCTTTATTGCATCTTCAACAAGAGATAAGATTCTAGAAAATAATTCCACATCAGAAACGGTAATAAGCTGCTATCAAAAAATTTTGACCGTTCATCTGGGCGTTTCATTAGCAACAACACCGAATAAGCAGCACCAGACGGTAATATGATAATCCAACACAACAGTACACGCAAATGTTGATACAAATGCAAATGGATCGCGCTATTGCCCATCTCCGCTAATAAGAGTAATAATCTGTATCAGATTTTATTGAAACGTTACGAACATCTGGCAGTTAATGGTCGTTTCGTTCGCAAAATATACACAGGTCGTAGTAAAAGTGATGGACATACAGTGCAGTGCTCTAATCTAGCCATCATTACGTATTATTGGAAGGGAGAGCCGGAAGCTTTCATTGCAACTCCACAACGGAAGGTTTTGTTTGTTTAAAAATTACATTATAAAATTCATTTGCGTTCTTATCAATCCAAAGGTGGTTAATAATTTGTAATAAACTACTGGTCTTTTAAAATTCTATTTTGAGTTTGATAGTTTCTTGTTATGTTGCTTCGAAACATATTTCAAGAAACGATTCAACTTTAATGAATCATTGAAATTTCTCAAATTCAGGTTCGTATTGGTCAACAAGCATACAGTCAACAACGATATCGTTATGAGATACCAACAGTTTGTGATGATAACAGTGCGTTAGTGTACACTAGTGAAAGAGATGAAAGCAGTTGTGAAGCTTGTTAGTTTCTTTTCTCAATGTTTCACGATTCAGTTTCCATCTAGCCCATAATTTTGAAAAGATATTTCTTGTTATTAATAGATGATCGTTTTTTCGTTAAGGTACTGATGAGCAACGGCCATCTACCTCTGCTGCGTGGACTGCTGCAGCAACAAATCGTTCGCTTCGTTTTGTTGCAGGACCACAGCCAGCTCGTGTGACACGGCCTCGTTGCAATGCCAACAATAACAATATTGATTACAGTAATACCATTTCTAGCAGTAATAGTAATCAAAGTCAAGCATCGTCTCGTAATAATCGACCAAACATTCATTTGTTGAACGCAGGTGGTAATGATTCTTTGAAAACGGTTATACATCGCAAAGAATATGAGAATCAGGTATGTCGATTCCTTGTCATGGTTTTCATTGTCATAACTGCGATTTAAGTGATGAAGTGTGTTGTATCCGTTATTGTACCGTTGAAAATGATTATATTGCAACGGTTTTTTATATTCCAGATAATTGTGAACACGTTGTTGTGTATGAGAATTTGGTTTTCAGGAAAGGTTCAGCGCATTGTTGGATAGAGTTGAATCATTTTTGGATCGTTTGGAACGTGCTGGTGATGGTTTCATTGATCAAGTACGTGTTTTATCTCATTTGTATTGTGATGAAGATTATAGGTATGTTTATGATGGTGTCATTATTTGAAGATATGGATGGCAAATGCACACATAAATGGTGAGCAACAAGAAGTTCTGTTGACTGATGATGCATTAATCAGTACCAATGTTAATTCAACTTCTTATACGGTCAATGATAATTACATGAGTACCGTTGTTTCCGATCAAAGCGTATAACTTGAATTTTTCGCACTGTTTGTCATTGTATAATATGTTTATTGTCTTTCACACGTTTCTTTCCAATATTATTTCTTGTATTGATGCACATGTGATTTGTAATTACTATTAATAAATTTCAAATGTTTGAAGCAGTGAAAAAATGCTCGCTGATCCAACCAGTATATTTTTTCAGATGTTTTAAAATTTTCTTTTCAAAATCGGAAACCGGAGATGAATATCGACACAAAGAAAATATACTGTTTAGGAGAATAGATTATGATTTCGTTTTTTCCCTTCGCTTTCGGTTATTATTAGAATACTTAAGAAGATGTTAAATTCTGAGTTTAGGTCAAAATTATCTCTTATATCTGGTAATTGTTCAATTGTGTCGTGTAAATTTGTTCGATTTTTCCATTGTAAACTTTTAATTGATAAAAAATTGAATAATGATCTATTTTTATAAGCTGAAATCGTTTCAGAAAGTTGCTTTTCGTTGACTGAACGTGGGTAAATTAGAGGGATTTTTACTCTTAGATTGTGGATTTGAAGGATTCGAAATTGAGAACACACACGGTGTTTCTATTTGAACGGAAGTTTCAATGTCCCATTACTTCTGTTTTGAAAACTTTGTACGGTGTTACCAAATAGCACTGAATGCGAACAGGTACATGGAATTAACAGTTGTCAGATTTCTTACGATGGCCACAACAATCGGTGGGCAGTGGAAAAGGCAAATTTAAAGTGTCGGCCGTCAGCCACCTAAATCCGTTCAATCTTGGCCACTATGCGATCAGTCGCTCTCAGTTTCGAGCGAGAGCTATCGGAAATCATCTTTTTCCGAGTTTAGTAAATATTCACTGAAATTTAGTTTTTGCCATGAATAAGGAGGCCTCGTTTGTAACCTTCGGTTGGTGACCATTTGAATCTCAGTGGTCACAACTTTTTGATGGTCGCCGATCGATCAGTTTTTCTAGATTTTGGTCGGTAGCCACCCGCCAAAATGTTATTTTTTATCGATTTCCGCTAGTCATCGAGCCAATGCCGGTGCAATTAGTGGATTCAAACAAAGACCTATGCTCATCATTGCAGGAGAAGGGATGTTAATTCACCTTTCGGATATTTCAATCAGTGACAGTCGGCTGAACATACATTGATGAACTTTTAAAAAGAATCTGTTCCTCGGTTTCGCATCGTATCATCTCCCATGGTTACTATCAGATGTTTGTATGATGCTTATCAATTATCAGTGTGATGCTTTATCATTTATTACTCAGTGAACGTTCAAAATTCAATTTTTATTACTTGCCTCACATTTCAATACATTTTTTCACAAAGGTGTTGAATTTTGATCTTATTATTCAATTCAATAACCTTTCTCCTTTTTTCCATATACGTACGAACGATACTTCCTTTTTTTTCAATTTATACCAGTGAAAGAGTACAGACATGTCCTCAGCTCTTGCTGCTTTGTGCTTCTCTCAACTGGGCATGTTCTTCAGTTCATGAATTAATTTTGTTCTGCCAACGAATAATCTTTCTTCTTCGAGATATCTCCTCTTATTTCCATGTTAAATCAAATATGATGACTCTGAAAATACAGTAATCTGAGCTTCAAATATTCCTTTTCTGGCTCTCAGTTCCTGTTGATAAAACCGCACTCTTATGCGCTTATATCATCGAGCACATCTTCTACGTTATGAAATTGCCCATCTTTCCGTCACACGCTTTTTCGCTCTGAAACTTGATCCCAAATGCACTGCTTTTTCATTCAAAATTTTAGAACTCTATCAAAAGTTTTATCTCTGAGTTCAATTCTTAAATTTCTCAGAATATTTGCTCTGAAAGCGTACTAAAATGTTTTTTTTTTGCTATTATACTTATGATATATGAATTTGAAATTGGTTCAGTAAAAAAGGCATAACTATTCTATCGTTCTTCTATATAACACAAATTTGGTACGTTAGAGAAACAATAATGAATTATTGCGGTTCATTATGACCTATCATTGATACGTCATGCATTTAATGTTCAAAAACAAATGTATAAAGTCTTAACATCCTTTCTTTGCTGGCATTCAACTCTCGATATCAAACCGTAGCATCTTGTATTTTGATGTCATTTCTAAGTGGTGAACAATGCGCATCAAACTGATAACAATAATTAGTCTCAGTTCTTTCCCATGTTGATTCTTTCCATTTGAACTCCACTTTAAACCCATTGATCACTGTGCAATAAGCGTATGAGATTAATTTCAGACATACTCATCATCGCATCAGCAATATTGCTTCGCAGTTCAACTAGCATCTAACTAGTTTTCTAAACAGGTAAGTTTCTAGCAGCAGCCAGCGATTTTTGAACAGATATCAATAGATTAACGCTCATTTCATGATATCTTACATTAGAAGGAGTGTTTTCTTTTACTATTTGTTACGGATATTTGTTACAGTGCTCATATAGCTATATTATATTCTGTGTTATTATTATTTTTTAAATCAATGTTATTATTACTATTAATATTATTATTATTATTATTATTATTATTATTATTATTACTTTTGTCATTGTCATTATTATTATTGCCATCATTATGTTTCGTCGATGATATTATTCCCGCTTTGTATTCGTTACAATGCGAATTGCTCATTGACTGTAATCCAGTGAGCAAGGAACGCATCACAAGCGAATGAATGCTCACATTTCATCATACAAATATACTCATTCAGTACTAGTTGTGCTATCCGTAACAATGTTGCAAAACTGATTCTAGCATCGAAAATAACAATGACAGTATCGTTGTTCTCATTATTTTAATATTATTGCTACCGTCATCGAATTGTGTTTCTTTTTTAGCAGTGAAGAAATGAACGATTTTCGATATGATTTTTAAATATTGTGGATAAACAAAAATGAATCTGAAATTCGCTGAATAATTGAACAACAATACCAAAAATGCAAAAAATGCAATGCAATATCGAACGAAAGTTATTCGGTAGCTATGCAATATTATTGTGATTATTAAAATGGCACATAAAGTAGTAGTGATCGTTGTTGTCATCATTATTTAAACGTATCCCAAAAACGCCATATTTACATGCGAATTACATGCGTTTTCTCAGTTAAACTGATTACATTTATTGTTTACAATAACAAATTTGTATTCTTTTTTGATCATTAACAAGTATATCCCAACAATAATGAAGTACTAGCAGCAACACTTTCGAAAAGCAATGCCAACGACAGTCACAGAAATAACGGTAGCAGTAATAACGACAATTGCTTATTCGTCTATGATTACATACGTGACTGTTACATATCATTAATGAAAATCGTAGACATCACACGAATGCAGAATGGTTTTGAAAGGTTCACACAGAAAGAGGATGACGTTTTTTGACTAACATGTTGTTTACTGATGTTTCTATCATCAAATGATATGTGATTTGTTATTTTAATAAAAATTGTTGATCATTTTCAAAATTACTTCAAAACTAGTTCTGTAATCACGCATTCTTTAATATTTCACGAAACGCTCGTGTTTTGAATTGGTATTAGGTGACTACCGTTTATTATACAGTTGTTGATTGATATTGCTTTCAAGCTTGTGATAATGTTTATAAATTCTATGCCAGATATCGCACTGAACAGTATCGGTTATGCTAGACGGAAAGTAATCGAAGTTGTCGCCATTTTATCATCATTTATTTACAGGGTTGTTTTCATTTTATTGCGACAATATTATTGTCACTGTTATTGTTATTACTTTTTATTGTTACATGGGTGTTACTCTTATTATTACTGTTGTCATGACCATTTCTGTTACTGTTATTTTTACTGTTGCTCTTTTGTGAATGAATATTTTCGAAAATATGAAATGTTTTCGGTTGTGCGCTCGTTTTGAAAGCTGAAGGCATGGAATGTATGAAACGTTTGTTGTGTATGGTTGCATAGACTAGTTATATTCGATTTCATTCTTCTGTTATTGTTGTTAGCATTGTTCAGTGGTAGCAATCATATGAATAGCGCTTATACCATTCTGACAACAGCAACAGTTATAATAATAACAATATTATTAAATTGAACAGTAATATTTGCACAAATATTGTAATTTGTCGTAATGATTTTTGATCAATTCAACAGAATGACCGTCAATTCAAGTAGTTTTTATCGTTTGTTAGTATTTGTTGAATAAGATTGATGTT